GGGGGGGGGGGGGGGGGGGGGGGGGGGGGGGGGGGGGGGGGGGGGGGGGGGGGGGGGGGGGGGGGGGGGGGGGGGGGGTCGAGCTGCTGGTGCTGGGTTACTCTCGTATGATGCGCCGACTCCACGCACAGCAGTAGCTGTGTTCGCTTTCCCCTTGTCGACTTTGCTTTGCGTTTCGTTCTAGTGGTCCCGCCGCCGGCACACCATGCAACAGTCGCCTTCGCAATGTTTTGCGATTATTGTTGACGTGTTGGATAAAAAGCATGCAACCAGGGAAGCTGGGTCAGGGTCAGGGTTAGGGTCAGGGACACAGTCCCCTCTCCCTGTTCTATGTCACCGTTCTTGTTACCTTCATCTCTCGCGAAGGAAGGCGGTCCCGATACCCGGGTCCCTCCCAACCCAACACCCTTTGGATTGTTGCCCCGGGACACTGTCCGTCTCGCGCCACCTGCGCACGTTGGTATACACTTGCGCGTCGTCACTACCGTTGTACGAAGAGAGTTGCGACGTTGCAATAATGCTTGAGGGTAGTTCTTCTCCCGATTTGCTTGTTGGTTCCTTCCAGGAGTGGAGGTCCATCGGCGCACCAGCGGAGGATGGAGCGCGGCGAGCACAGCAGCGACAGCGACAGCGACAGCAGCATTGGCAGCAGCAGCATCAGTCCCGAACCGCCCCGCTCTCGTCGGCGCATCAGCCCCGCCATCCGCGAAGGCCTCCACGAGCAAGGCCAGCAGCAGCAGCAGCAGCAGCAGCAGCAGCAGGAGTCGAGGAGGGAGGGGGAGGAGAAGGAGGAGGAGGAGGAGGAGGAGGAGGAGGAGCGGGTACATGACGTCGGCGGGCGAGATGAGGACGAGGAGAAAGAGGAGGAGAAGGAAGCAGAGGGCGGCGGTGAGGGAGATGAAGAACGTCGGGAGCCGACGTATGCGGCGAGATTCACGGGTCACCGGAACCTGCTGACCGTGAAGCAGGTGGGCGGCGGACTTGGTCAAGAGACTCCCTGGGGGGACAGATACTCATATTTATTCTGTCTGTCGTGTATCGTTAGTTGGTACATAAGCGAGAGGGTGTCGGGGATTAGTGGCTGTGCGTAATGAATTGAGTAATTGTATCACTTTGGCTACCAGTCGGCAACCACGTGTTGGCCTGGAGTGACCTTGAGAGTATGTGGACCCTCGCGTCTGTCTGTCTGTCTCTTAATCTGTCTGTCTGTCTCTCAATCTGTCTGTCTGTCTATCTATCTGCCTGTCTATCTGTCTATCTCTGTCGATTTTCCGGACTCTCTGTCCCTCTCTCTCTCTCTCTGTCTCTCTCTCTCTCTCTCTCTCTCTCTCTCGCTCGCTCGCCCCCTCCCCGCTCTCTCCCCTGCCTCCCCGTCTCTTGACACCCCGTCCCTCTCTCCCTCCCTCTTTGTCTCCCACAACGTAGGTGACGTTCTACGGTCCTCGTAGTGAATTCGTCGTTAGTGGGTCGGACTGTGGCCACATCTTCTTCTGGAACAAGGTGCGTCTCGACAGGACGGGCAAAACACAAAACACAAAACACAAAACACAAAACACAAAACACAAAACACAAAAAACATCCCTCGAGTTAGAGCCTTGAAGCATCAAAAGAGTCGAAAGAGCAGCTATCGACGGTGTGGAATCGAAAGAGCAGCTATCGACGGTTGTTGGCGTTGTCGTTTCGCCGAGGTCAACGTGTGTTTCCGCGTCGCGTTTTTTTTTTATTCTTATTTTGGCTCGGTTGGACATCCCCTGTCTGGCTTCCTACAGGATGACCTCACACGTTAGTCCGTGATCGAAACCCGCAAACATGTGCCTTTTTCCCCGACGCCTCCGAGGATTTGGTCGTGTTGTCAATTTGACCTGCTGGCTTGCGGAGACTGTACCGCAGCAGAGTACGCGTCATTTACACAAGGCGCTACTTATTCGCGGAATCGCCCCAGCACACCGGTCGCCCCCGTGGTCTAGTGGTATCGTCGTAATCCGCTAGTCGCAGAGGTCGTGAGTTCGAATCCCTATGGAGTGAAAAATTTACGGAATGTGCGAGTGAAAGCGAAATATGGCTGACAAGCTCTCGTGAGTACCAAACTTCGACGTTAGCACCGTTGACGAGGGAAAGGGACGGCTGGAGCGTTCTCGCGATAAAAGTAAAATTCAGCACGCACCGCAGGAGGAAGGTGGGGCATGAAAAGGAATAAAAAGAAGCAAAAGCCCTGGTGTTTACCCCCTCCTGTGTGACCCTGGATGGTTGTACAGTAGTTGTACGAAAAAATACACTGAAAAGTGTAGTACTCTACATACGCTGAAAAGTGTAGTACACGTACGTCTCACCACGAAAAATGTGGGGACTGTCGCCATAATAAATAGGACGAAAACACGCAACACACAACACACCACAGCCGAGCTAGAATGACACGCCGACATGTATCCGTTGGGCATGTATCCGTTGGCCGCCGGCCCACAAAGAAAGCACTTGAAAACCGCGCTCCTCGTTTGGGAAGACAACAGCCTACCGAATGCGTAGCAGGCTACTCCGCTCCGCCGGCCCGAACACACCACTCTGCAACACCCCCTCGCAATCGCGCTTGCGTATTGGCGGACTAGCATTTGTTTTGCCTTGACACGCTTTCACTCGTAACGCTGTCGTCGGGCAACTCTGTCGCTCGTTCCCAGGCGTGTGCACCACGGTCAATAATCGTTCTCATGAGGGCGCGGCCTTATCGCCGTGGCGAGGTGCCGGGACAGACAGTTTTGGTTTTCGATGGGGGCACGTGTACCGGTGCGGACAGCTCCTAACCCTTACCACACTGGCCCTGAAACCCTAACCTTAAACCGAAGTATTTGTTGTCGCCACCCATCTCTATGCTGCTTTGCCGCGGCGGCCCTCGCCTCGCGCACCATACGTGAAACGATCGAACAACTATATTTACTGGCGCACGTTCGTCTGGCGAATAAATCGGGGCCGTTTTGTTCCGGCTGGGGGTCGACCATCGCGCCGTTTTTTTTCACGACCACGACCACGACAATATCATCCCGCAAGGCCTCGGCGAAGCTAGAGATGCTGCTGTTCGGGGACAAAGTCGGGGCCGTGAACTGCCTGGAGCCACACCCCTACCTGCCGGCCCTTGCTACCAGGTTGGTCCAGAGTGCACGCCCGCACCGCTGAGGCGGTGGTGTTGAGATGCTCTTTTGCTTGCAGGGGGCCCTGCGGCGATGGTTTGGTTGTGTTGTACCCCCGAAGGGCGATGCGATCGCGTGCGTTTTTTGGATGGTCAGGTTGGCTGTCCCGTGGCTGACGTCGTCTGTAGCCGACTCTGTGTCCTCTTGGTTTGGTGTTTCTCAGGCCTCTGTTTTGATAACGTCGCGCACCCTGGCTTATGGGATTCGTTTATTTTTTTGTTGTTGTTTGGTCAGTCCGTGATTGGTGCAAGTGCTCCCTTCGGTTGTCTCGCAAGACCGCACCCGCTCCTGCTAGGCCTTCGCTACAAACAGAAGATGTGGTTACCCCACCGGCAGCAATGGTCTTGTTGTGTGCTAGTGTCCGGTGTCCCCTTTTTCTCGGCGACATGTGACGAACCGCTTCGTCGCTGTGGCCTCCCTCGGGAAACACACTTACACTATTTAGATCTTTTGGTCAACGGTGCCACCCTTGGAATTGCCCAGCCCATTGGCTCTAGCGCTTCATCGTGGATGACACCTTTCGTTCACGGTCGGTTTTGCCGGCGGCGTTGTTGAAACGGCCCCAGCACGTTTCAACAGACCGGCATCGCACGCTCGGTTTTTGTAGCATCAGCGTACAGCAGTAGCACGGAGCATTGCAGGAACAGCAGTGGTCCGTCGGTTTCAAACTGGCAGGCGTGTTGGTTGTTCTCAAGAGCATACTCTCCCTGAGATGTTCCTGCGCGTGTGTGTTCTTTCGTAGTACATACTGCAGCATGCACATTCCCTCTATTGGGATCCCCGTAGCGTAGCCCCACCCACCCCCCTGAGATGTTCCTGTGTGAGAGTACACAGCATGCACATACCCGATCCCCGTGAGTTTTTTTGTTCCTTGTCGCGTAACCTCCGCCGCTCTGCTTGCTCTCGTCCAGCGGCCTATCGAGAACCGTAAAGGTTTGGAGGCCCACCAGGTTTACCCCGGTCGGCGAGCTGGTGGGCAAAGGGGGCAAGTCCGCCGCGGAGATCGCAGCGGACAACGCGGAAATGGCGCAGAACGAGAGGGACGGGGGAAGGGCGGCAGCGCGGGTTTGTGCCCTCTGTCGTTGGTTTTTTTGTTGTGGCTGTGGTGACGCCGTCGATCGCGGCGCGGGCGGGGAATGGTTGCTGCTGTTGTAGATCTTGGCTGCACCGCCTCGTCTGTCTTTGTGGGCTAGAGACGGTGGCGCAATGTTCCGTTGTGTTGTCATTCATTTCGCCAGCCGGACAGCCGGAAGTACTTCAATTTTTTTTTCTTCCTCTGCTTGGTAAACGACAACTAATTGCAACGCGGAACGGGGGGAATCGATCGGAGTCTGGTTTGTAGTAAAGTCATATCGGAAATCTTTGCACCGTTCGCGCTCTGGGACAGCTCATATCCACACAAGGTTTGGGCGGCCTGGTTCCCTGTTGCTCGGCCATCAACGCCGCGTTTTGGAACATACAAGGGTAGACAAGACCTGGAGCTGCCCTTGACTAAGTTGCAACACAATCATCGATCATTGCACTCGGCACTAGCTTGGAAGACACAAGATGACGAACGCTAGCCTCCCACGATGGTCGATAGGAAACGCGCCAGCTTGCGCTCGGTTGCGCTGAGTTTGCCCTCGCCATTTCAATCTTCCCCGCTCCTGCTCCTCAAAATCAGCTCGGCCGGGCGCATGCTGGCGCAATTCTATACATCGTATCGAATGCGAGAGATCGCAATACATTTGCGGGTGTTCGAAGCGCTCTTGCAGCGTGCGCTTATCGACGATATCGTTTTGCGATGACACACCGTCGACGGCAACCCCAGGCCTTGTCTTTGGACAAGTCATCCAGTAGTCTTGCCTTTCGCCTTACCCACCGTTTGTCGCAGGAGCCTATTCAGCGAGACTGCCGGGAGCACCGTTGCCATGTACCTACCTCGCAAGCCTCGACTTGGGAGTCGGTCGACCCGGCACAAAGAGTTTCACCATGACGAAAATCGCCCGGTGTCGTGCATGCGCACCTACAGATGCATTGAGCCAGTTGTGCCGTATATGTGCGAGCGATGGCACCTCTCCGTAGACGGACATTCGTTTGTCGCTCGACTTTGCCCCACAGCCTGGCGGGTGGTGCAAAAGCCTGCCGATAGACTCATCCAAGGAAATATTCTCGTTTTTTTTGCCATCTTTCCGAGATCACCCTCTCGTGGCGGCACGAGCGGTTCCCGCTCGGCGGTTGTGGCCGCAGGTGCATCTATCTATCTATCTATCTATCTATCGAAAAAGCTGTCGACCTACATGATCGGCCATCTTTCTGAAAAATCACCCTTTCGTGGCGGCGAGAGTGCTCCCCGATCGCCGGTTGTGTGGAGGTGGAGCAGTCGCGCCCTGGAAAGCGTGTCGCGAATGGGAGGATGCGACCGTCACTCGTCGCACAATCCCGGGCAAGATTCATCCAAGAGCTGCAGACCAAATCATCGACCGCCCTCACGTGCTGCCCGAACGGCGGTCGGTTGGGCCACGTGGCAAGCAGGGCGGTCCACGACGACAAACGTAGCGCGCCGAACGATCTTACCCACGCGAGCATGTGCGTGCGCTGTAGCTCGCCATCAGAGCGGGGATGGATCGTCACACGCGTTCCGTTGTGCGGTTTCGTTTTGACGGCAGGTTGCCATCACGCAGGAGATGTTGCTGAGCATCCTTGGGTTGGCCCCGTTCGACGATGATGGACACGGACACGGCGGGGCGCGGGGGGGAGCGGCGGGCGGAGGAGAGCGGGGNCGGAGCCAACAGAGGCGGGCATGTAAGTTGCAAACCATGTTGTTTTTCGGAAGCCACCATGCGCGTATTTGGTCGTTGTTTTCTGTTTCGTTGACTGGTGGGAGGGTGGGGGCTGTCCTGGGGTCGGTTTTAGAACCCCGGTGGCATATGGAACAAAGGGGATGTGGCAGCCGGCGGTGAAAAAGGGCGACCCACACAGTCTTTGGCGTGCGCACTGGCATACTTCTCAAGCCCGCCGATGGAATTGTCGCCGAGAAAGATGTTGCCCCTCCCCCCCCCCCCCCCCCCCCCCCCCCCCCCCNNNCCTCGGTACACCTATTCGCATTCCCCTTGTGCAGCAGCAACCAGTCTACGCGGAAGTTGCGTCTCTGTCTCCCGCTTGTGTTGTATCTTAATTTTTGTTACCAGTCTCCACCGCTGGTTTTCCTTAGTCTTTTGCTTCGCTGAGATATTTGCTGTGGAAGCCTGTGAAGCTTGGTACCAACGAACGGTAGGGGCTCTTAAGTAGTCAAGCGGGTGGCAAGAACACTCTGTCCCGAGCCAGACCTGCGGATGCAGCAGCATGCGCGCCTGACCTCCGGAAGCTGACACCCCGTTAAAAGGTTGTTGTTGGATGAGACGATTCGAATATTTTACCAGGTGGGGTTCGGTGTGATGGGTAAACACGTACGCCTCCGACCTGAGTTTCGACATTTTTTCTCTCTTGTCGGGGTCCCCAAGTGTGTCAGTCGTGAGTACGGCGGTCGACCTGTGTAAGACGGGTGAAAATTGACTGGCATAGAGAGAAGAATCAAGTTGTTCTACACGTTGAACAAGGCTGCTGCCATATGTAAGGCGGTCATTATCTGCTTCCCTATCACCGGCTTTTTCGGGGACCCCGACTGCGCGTTTATTTGCCGCGGCAGCAGGGAGCGGCCGCGGGGGCGAGAGGAGGTAGTCCGACGAGAAGACTGAGCGCACGGGCGCGCCTGGCGTTGCTCCACCGAGCCATGGGGATGATCTCGGGCATGGGTGACGAGGAGGAAGAGGACGAGGAGGAGGAGGAAGAAGAAAGCGAGGATGAAGGGGCCGGGAGCAGCCAGGACAGCGAAGACTTCGAAGGGGAAGAGGAAGAGGAAGAGGAGGAAGAGGAAGAGGAAGAGGAGGAGGAAGAAGAGGAAGAGGAGCGTGGGCGGCCCACTCAGGTGAGGAACACGGCACCTGGAAAGCTGTAAGCTTGTTAACCTAACCTTTTCTTGGGATCCGGCACTGGGCGAGAGCTTCGCCGACATTGGTCCCTTATGAAGTTTATCGGAGGCGGGCTTGTCAGAATTTTCTCCCAGAGTCGGGGGTTCGCTCACCTTCTTCGTTTCATACCCTCTCCCACCTATTTATCGTACATCGCCTGTCCAGAGACTAGGTTGCGAATCGGACAGGCTTGTTATTGGTCAAGCGAACAAGGAGTAATTTTTTTGCGACGAAACCCACCTCTACAACCTCGCGCTCTACCTTCCTCCCTTCCTGAAGGCGGGCCCCAGGAGGAGAATACAGATAGCGCCCTCACTGGAGACCCTGGCAGTTGAGAACTTCATCCTCGATATTGTGTCAAACAAAACAACTTGAGCACCATTGTAAGCCCGGTGAAGACTACACTCAAATCTATGTCGCGGCCATTTGTAGTCGCAGCAGATCGAACCATCTTCTTTGCCCGAGCGCAACGTTGCTGCTACAACTTGTCAAACACAGGAGCTTGAGCACCGTTTGAGGGCCCTTTCAGAACCCCTTACGCTATACAGCGGCGATTTGTAGCCCCCAAGAGGAACTGAGAACCCCTTGGCCAAGGCTAGCGGCTATTGCGTGCGGGCGCTGTCCACGTTGTATGCTTTGGCTACTTCCGATACGGTATCCCCTTTCGTGCACTTCGTGGTTTGAGTATATTGTGCCGTTGTTCATAGTCAATGCCCTGTGTATCTGCCACTCACGATTTTTCTCAAAATATTGCGCATTGCTAACCATTTTTGATGTCGGCAGGGCACCCCGCTGCAGGGGCCTAGGGAGAGAGGGTTGACGGCGGCTGCTACAGCGGCCGGTCTCAGCCTCGAAGTCGTCTCGTGTGAAAGCGACAGCAACGGCGACAACGAAGGGAGCGGCGCCGGCGCCGGCGGTCAGATGCCGAACGGCGATGTCACGGGATGAAATGCAGAGGCGGCGGCAGCAACCACTCCCTCGTATGAGCGGCAGCGGCGTTACGATCGAAGAAGAGAAAGTTGTGGCCAAGCAGTTGTCTTCGAGTTTTAGTGATAGGTGAACATCCGGCTCGTTGTCGTAGGCCGTGCGCTTTGGTTGCATTCGCGTATATTTTTTTAAATGTGTAGAGTCTAAAAAGATTGGGGTAGGGTCATTTCCACCCCAAACAGAAGTTGTACATAACAAGACCCGGAGAGGTCAATAAATGTAATGGAGTGTGTCGGCAGGGCTATCCGCCTGGAGCGTGACATGCTTTATTTGTCTCATCGGGGCAACAAATAGGGAACGTTCAAGGGTTTTCTGTAGCCCGACGCCCGCCGAGTGAGCGAGTGTGTCTTGTTCTCACCGGATGCACTCCATCATGCGTCACATGCAGCTGATGTGCGTTCGTTTCATGTTTTTTACGTGAGAACGAAAGCGCGGGCTCGGTAGAGATTGTTTACGGGCCGTTTTATTCACAGCGATTTTGAATCCATTATTCCGACTTTCAAGAGTTTGGACAAAGTCTCGGTACAATGTTTGCGGTCAATCGTTCCCAATTTTCTCAATGTCCATTTTTTCTTCGTTCGCCGCTAATCGAGGTTCAACGGTCTACGGGTTTGGAATGTTGGAAATTTGAAAGCAAAATCGACGTGTCGTATGAAACGGCCCTTACGTGGCCGAGACGCCCCCGCATATATCAGCATCATCTCCCCATGAGCAATGTAAGCTACGGAAAGTCGTCTGTAGTGCTAGGATACCCCCATAATACGCGATAGCGTTGCCCCTCCCATGATATATCGATCGGCCGATGCTGTCGGCGCCGGTGGGACGTGCAGACCACCCAAACCCATCCAACGGACGTGCCACCACGTCTTTTGTGAGGCAAAAGGTAGGCCACGCTTGACGAAGCGCCGCAGTGGATCGAACTTGTGGTGCTCTGATCGCCTCCCTCCATTTCACGTTTGTTTAATTTCGTTTCCAACAGTACGAGCGAGCGACCTAACCCGCGCTATGCATAGCGTACAACATACAACAACGACCGAGCAGAAGTGTCTGTTGCTCTAGTTTGGCATTCAGCTATTCGGCATGTGTGGCGTTCGAACCAAATACGGCGAAGACTGACGGCAGGTCGCCACGAGGATTTCCCCCATCTCAAAAGTCAGTCAGACGACCGACGACGTGGTGGCAGCGGTGTAACATACATAACATGGAAAACGCAAAAAAAATGAGCGCCAAGAAGCGAATCGACGACTCCCGACTGCCTGTTTGGGACCGATTTCTCGTCAACGGTAGAGGGCGGTTCATTCCCCCTTCTCATAGAGAAACATATAAAAACGACAACTCGCATTCTCGCCATTAGCACGCTAGTGCCGTGCGCAAAACTGCAGGAACGAGTTGCAACCCGCCGTTTTTTCACCAGCAAACACCTGCTGCACAAGAAACCTCACGCTTAGGGTCTCGTCCTATCCTCCCCAACATCAGATCAGATCGTAGATGACGGTTCATTCCCGCTTTTAACAGAGACACGTAAAAAGCTAGAACAGCCGCCCTTCCGCCACTTGTATGCTTCAGAACAAAAGACTTGTTAGTCTAGTCCAAAACGTCGCAACCTACATAGTCTAGCGGTCCTTGCCAAGCACTCGTTTTCACGGGCGAAACAGGCAGCATGCAAAGTGAATCGCGCGCAAGAAGTGTGGGAAAGAGCACGGAAGGCATCCTAGAAACAGCCTGTGTACCACCTGTGCATAGACTGCATCATGCATCAAAGAGACAAAGAAGGTTTGGATCCGCGCAGGACCCCGACAAATACAACATTCCTCAGTGAGGGTTACTTCAATTTTCTGCAAAATATGCATACGGGCACCGTCGGGTGACCCGGGAGCAACACGATTTTCACAACACTGCCGCGCTCCAATAGAGCCTGGTGCGATTTTCCCCAGCCATTCATCCATCCAAATGCGGAAGTTATCTCTGTAGCAGAGTCGGCAGAGCTTCCAAGGACCAGCAGTATTGTGTACTCAATTCACCGAGACAACTGCACCAAAGGCGTACACATAGAAACATTCCGCAGCATCACTTCCCACCTGATCGCCCGTAGACGATATCTCCACTTGGGTACCGCTTTGAGCCCCCCCCCTCAACCTCTGTTCCCCCCGGTGTTTGCCATAGGTGTTTGCCATCGGGATTGGGTTGTCGTCGCTTGGCAACGACGTCATAAAACACGCCAATTCACTTCGTGAACTCGGCAACCAGATTGCCGGGTTTTTTTCTTTACCTCTGATTTTTTTTGGCGGTATCCATAATGAATGGTGGTCGAGTGGATCATCTCGTACGGGGTGGAGAAGCCTCACTCCGCGCAAGGGGGATAATCGAACCACATTTTGTTAATTTGGTCAAGCACCCTGGCACACACCCGGCTACAATTGACGAGTATCGGACACCTAGAACTAGACGCGACAAAAATTCAACAGACAACTACAAGCGGGCATCGAAACCATGTATCTATCCATCGAGCGCGCGTTTTCAAGACCCACCCGCGGATGCCAAGGCAAGAATAAAATATGACCAACCCCCGGGCGTTAGGCAAAAAAAAAAAAAAAACGACCAACGTCGGGGCGTCAGTCTCTGCGCCACACCGTCGCCTCCGCGGACGCATACTCGAAAGTGCGGTCTGTCAGCGGCCGCATGCACGGCACCCTTTCCACATGGACAAGCTTGAAATCCTCGCCCAGCCCTCTCGACAGCCCCTGGATCGAGGGGACCTGTTTGGGTGGGTGCAGGGCGTGTTTCAGTCGGCAAGGTCCGTCGTTTTTCGCAAGAATTATCATTGGTCACCTTAAGGCACCCCCTGTATTGAGACCCCGGCGGGCAGTGAATCGAGAAATTGTACCCCGATAGGCGTAAAGGCCGGCATCCAGAATACATATATGGGACATGACAAACAAATGAACAAACTGCAAAACGGAAAAGGCCAAGGCTCGCCGTATTCTTTTCCGGAGCCTCGTCCAAGGGCCGCACTAGCTAACGCAGAGTAGAAGCTCGTACACGGTAAGTATCCTATCCTACTGTGTGAAGCACAACCCGAGCCCGGAAATCATCGGTGCTACGGCCGTACACCTCTAGTTCCGCCGTAAAAGGATCTTCGACTTCCGACGACGGAGGGTCGGTTTCTTGTTTCGGTCGAGCGCAGATTGCCACATAAAGGTAGCATGTAGCGCAGGATCCACCGTTAAGCCAGCCGTGCTTCTGAACCACACCTTTCTAATTTCTCGGCAAACCTGAACAACTCTACACTTGTATGTATACAAGCAATGATACACGCTTGCCTCCTCGCGGCGAACTCCCAACTCATACTTAATATTATTATCTTCATTTGGCTGCTTTGCTTCGACAAGCACGCAACAACATATTCGCCTGATTGAGAGCGAAGTATCTGATTGAGAGCGAGAGCCAAAAAAATTGAAATTTCGGGTCCAGACGCCTCTTGCCATTTCTTGGCAAGTAGGGGACGGGCTATTCCAAGAAGCGGTGCAAATTGAAGGTCTCATCAGCAGCTTCGCGAGCATATGCGTGTCATCGTCATCGGATGCTGCAGCGAGGAGCTAGACAAGTTGCTAGATTTGCCCAGATTGGCTATTTCTGCTCAAACTGTTTCAGGGCGGTATCGCGTCGGGCGGTGGGCTCTGCTGTAGCTTCTGCTCCCCGCTGTAGCTCCACAGCGAGAGACTCCCACAGGATGACCAGGGTAGCGGCTTGAAGCTACAGGCTAGCCCTTCAATTCAAGCTACACAGCAAGCTCCACCTCTCAGTGGTAGTCCGGCTACAGCGTATCGCGCACTCTCGCTCTCAATCAGATGCTACGCTCTCAATCAGATGCTACGCTCTCAATCAGGCGAATATGTTGTTACGCATGTATGACAGACATGCAGCACGCCGTCCTCGCGATATGAACGAACGAACCTCGTTGCCGTCATCGTCAAGGTAACCGCCCACCCACGCCCCCTCTGGGGTCACGTCCTCATTCCACTCGTACGCCGACACCACAACCGCCACGCCCCCGTTCTCCCTCACGATGCCCCTGGCCCCTCCCATCCGACCCAGGAGCCCGTTCGGGGAAGGGATGGCGTCGATCGTGCTGTGAATTAGGGCCGCGTCTAGCCCTTCGTCGTCGTTCGTCGTCGTTGAGGCGGGGAGCGGGCGAACGGGCCGTGAAAGCGGGAGCCGCCAGGCTTAGGGTCAGCCGGAGAGCGACTAAGCAGACTACCGTAGTGTTTGATAAGATCGCCGTAGGGTCGTGGTGAGTAAAGGAAGTGTGCACTGGCCATGGTGCTGCTCAGCGGCATATCACTGCTCAATGGTATGTGCTGCCGAGATATCACGATACTAGAATGTGCGTGAGCCATGATTGCTGACTCGAGTCCTGCGCATTCTAGTGAACAGTGACAGCTTTATACTGTCAATCGCGTTGCCGCAAAGCGTGCATGTATTCCGTATAGTAAGTGACCTCCGCCTCAAGACCGCGACACAACCACCGTGGTGATAACACAACTCCCGCTGCCAAAGGAGGACGGAGGACGGGTGTAGCCTACACCAAAAACCAAGCCGTACGTAGTAGGCATTCCGCGGCTGACACACCATCATCTACCTAACCCAACCCAACCAAAGCCCAAAAGCTAAACCAATCCCAGCCCTCCGAAGCGACAAGCTCCTCACCGGCCAAGCCTGCCGGGAGGCACATCGGGTCGCACTGCTTGAACGTTATCCTCTCCGGGTTCGCCTCCCCGTCGAGATAGACTTCCCGGGCCACGCTCCTCGCACCCCCCGATGGGTAGGTGACGGTCAGCCTGGATTCCCTCGCCATCTTCGATGCGGTGTCGATGAGGCTCTTGTTGGCCTCCAGCGCTACGACTTTCCCTGTGTGGCGGTGGGTGGTTTCTAATCGGGTTAAGGGCTAGGGCTTGCAATAGGGTTTGGGTTAGGGTTAGCCAGGAGGGTCACATTCGGACGCGGTGTGCGGGGAAGGGAGAAAATGCAAGGCTTTCTCCGGGGGTGAGACCCACGGCTTGGTAGGTTTCTTTCCGCAGAGGGTCAGCCGGAAGGGCCGCGGTATGGTGGAATGGTGAACTTCGAAACATTTCACCAAGGTGGTTTGCATGGGTGTGGCGGTGCCCGGTTCCGTTCTGCTGTACACAAGAAGGTAGTTTCAACATGCATGCACAGGCGTCCGTGTCACGGCGACAGAGGCGATGGAGCGCATGCCTCGCGAAAGACCCGTAAGCAAAAACAATAGCAGCAACTCCGCGACAAATGCCCCATATCGTGAGTCATTTCACGGGTCTGATGGCCCGGCCAGAACCGTGGGTGCTCCGGCCGCGGGGGAGTGACTTACCTACAACCTTGGAGAGCTCAAACGACCCTCCGCCCGCGCCGCATCCGACTTCAACCACGTGGGCCTCTCCGGCTGGGAGCACGCCGTCGAGGGCGCGCAGCACGATCCTCGCGCACCTGCCACACACGCACACGGCAGTGTGTTACCCGGCGGTTTTCGCGAACACGCCGACGAGAAGTCAGCTGGGCATCCGCAGAAAAAAAACTGTCGGTATGGTGCACGATAGTGTCTAGTACGAATAAGGGCAATGTTATTTGTCGCGATTTTTGGAACGTGTGGTATAGGGTTAGAGCTTCAAAGCCGAGGAAGCATGCAAGGAATGCCAAAACATCAGTAATAAACCACATTCCCCATCACGCGAGGTCAACGGTCAACCCAATACGGCATGCACGGCTATATGAGTACAACCCCCACCCCCCTATATCACCACCTCTCTCCTCGAGAAAACGCCCACCTTTGCGGGTACTGCAACCCTTCCGCGACAGTGGCGTCTTCTCGGGCTACCTCGGGCACCGCGAAGTGCATCGCCACGTTCGCGGCGAAGCTTCTCTCGGCTTGAGCCTCGCGCTTTACCCACCCGGAGGACGAGGCCGACGCCCCCTTGTCCGCGGTGCGGAAAGGGTAGCTTCCGACGAACGGTCTGGGAGCATCTGTCGCGCGCGGAGGCGGCGTCGCGGTTGGGCAGAATGAGCAAGGGCACCAAGAATGGCATCCAATTGTGAAACCAAGAATGGCACTGCTGTACGAGTTCTTCAAGGAAGCGAAGTGGTGTGCGTGTCTGCGGATTTCTGTATTGGCATCGACCGCGCTAATTGGCCGACTAATGAAAAGACGTCAGTCTCGCATCTACTCAATGTGTGTGCGTGTGCGTGCGCGCCAACCGACTGATAAATACGAAAAGCACGTCGATGCGGTCGAACAAAAATACGTTTCCGAAGGTGGTTCCTTCCTGAGAACGGGGGTTCACAGAGGAGGATAACTTAGGCTGTTCTCCAGAATGAAGAACGAAACGTGAAGGAAAGTGCGTGATGCTGGTCAGAGTTTCCTGGGTCAACTTCTCTCGTGTGCGCCGTGTCGCTCATTACGAATGGTGCTCTTCATCTGCCGGACGGTAAACACACATGGTGTTGTTCTCTACCGCTCTTGCACGAAGGATGCTGCTGTTGTTTTTCATGGGCAGCGCACTCTCTCGGCACCCCGCCTATTTCAGCATCTCGCCCAACGATAGACATGATGAAGCCCCACCGCTGACGACAACAGAGTAAGCGTTGGCTACCGCAGGAGACCGAAGAAGGAGGTTCGTCTATCTATACACTCGTTCACCGTATCCCAGGAATGTTTAAGTGCAACGAACAAGAACCCGTGAATTACAACTCTCGAGGCCCAATAACAACAGAAATCTCAAGACTGGACAATCAAAATAGACGCTTGTTCGCTAGGAACCCTACTCCAATTCTTGTGTTCTATTGGCCGCTGGCGGGATACCTGACAGAAAAAGGCACAAAACTGAGACGCTTTTTCACACTCTGCGGTGGCGGGTCCTCTTCTGTATACATATGCTGCCCGCCTGCCGGCACGGCTGACGGTTACCCCTCAAACCTGTGCAAGATGTCACGAAGCGCGTCGCCTCCTCCTTTCGCTCCGGAGCGACCAGCCGGAAACCGGCGTGCTGGCGGAAGTGGGGGCGGAAGTGGTACCGCGCGAAGACGCTCGCCTCGTTGCCGGTGCTGGCGAAGCTCCCGCCCGCGATGATGTGGTGCTCGCCGTCGAAGCAAGGGGTGGAGAAGTCCTGAAACGGGCAGAAGCGCACGACAGAGCTTGGGTTGTCGTTAGTTGCCGGAGCATGAGCCGCGGGTGTCTAGGATGATGCCGGTGGCATGTTCCGTCATCATCGTCGCCGTTGTTCGAGCCGCGGATACGTAGGTCGTGCGGGCGGCATGCGTGGGCGTTTGTTTGGTTCCCGTCGGGGTGGTCAGTGATATCTTGTCCTAAGGAAAATATGAAAAAAGTGACAATCAAATGCTTTCATGCCTACATTTCGTGAATGGAGAAATTACGCCTTGTGCACTTATTGGGGAATCGGGAAACACAGGAGAAGACACATAATACGATAAACATATAACATACGAGCGTCACGGCGGTCGTCTAGAGTAGAGAGGGAAAAGGGGTGCTTTCATCGCCGCAAGCAAGAGGCGACGTCGCACCTCGTAGAGCGGGCTGATCGAAAAGCCTTCCAGAGCCGAGAAGTGGTCCTCACACCTACGGCACGGGGAGGTTTTCGCGGCGAAGGGTCGAGGCAAAGCGGCAGCAGGAAGCAGCCAAGCGTGGTCGGCAAAGAACAACCTGAAACGGTCGGGTCCATCAGACCCTTCTCACGCACGCAATTCCGCATGCATGTGCCGCAGACCGTCCGCAAAAAAAAAAAAATGTACCGTTAGTGAAAGCCGGATCCAACACGAACCGTCCCGTCGTCAACACCCCCGCCGTCTTCACCGCGCACACACGAGTCGACCTCCCACCTCCCTTGCAGCCAGACAGACTTCCACGCACAGTCGACCACGCTCACGCGCGCGGCACAACAAACACCCACCACCGCCCGTATCGCGCCTCGCGCTACACCGGGACTCACCACTCCCACGCGTTGCCGCGGGTGTCGCAGAAGCCCATATCGTTGGGCGGGAACGCGTCCACCGGGGTCTCTGACCCCACGGTGAGGTTGGTGTTGGCCGCCCCGTGCCCGACCCCGTTACCACCACAGTGATGGAGGTCTGGCGCGTCCGATAGCGACAGCACCGGGTCGATGAGCTGTTGTGGGGGGGCGAGCAAGAGAGGAGAGTGTGTCGTGAGCAGGGGCGATCAGGAAAGGGGCACCGCGGCAGAGCTTGGCGGGGTAGGGGGGACGGGGGGGCGGGCAGGCAACCTTCTCGCGGGACGAAAAACAAAGCTGTTTTCAACCGCACTGCACTGAGGCTGACACCATTTCATTGGTTGGTCGGCTTGCGGTCGGTGCAAATAACAAAACACACGCACGCAGACACACACGGCGTAAAGATACCCGGTTGGTTTCCGTCTTTCAACCCGGGGAAAGGTCAATAATAGGCTCGCCCCGTCACTCCCCTCTCTCACGGGGAGGCCAGTCTTTGGCGCCGTTACAAGCGTTCTCAGCTTTCTTGCTGAACCTGAGACTAGCCTCTTCTCATGAATGAATGAAGCACATGGACAGACACACATGGAACTGCTGCCTTTCGCACAAAACACCTTGGGCAACAAACCACACCCGTTGAAAAAAAAAAAAAAATGAACCGTGTCTCGCCTCGGGAATGTCGGAGCTGGATCGCTCGGCGTTGCCTCCCCTCATGAGCTTCTGCTCGAGCTCTGTCGTCAGCCGGTAAGCCCTGCCGTCCTCGCCTAATCTCTGCGAGCGGGGCGGACGCAGCAGCATACAGCAGCAGCAGTCCGGACCGGAAGGAGGCAAACAACACCAGCACCGTTCGCTTTGGGGTCAACCAGAGGCCGAAGCGTAATGGGGGCAAGGAGAAAAAAACTTCTTCAAGCGAAGGAGTAGGCATGGCGGCAGCGGCAGCAGCAGCGGCGGCGGCGGTGGCGGCAGACGTGCGGGCACGCGAGGGGGACAATGGAACGAGAGCGTGTGCCTACTCCCCGGGGTCCGATTCCTCGGACCGATTGCGTGCAATGCTCAACACCGCGGAGCACTCGTGCAACGCATCACATCACCGGTTTGACACACTCACACACACACGCATACCCTCCCGCACGAATACCCCTCACGGGGTCCCAGATCACGGCTTTTTTATCAAAGCATTGTCTGTGCTGTTTCCGCCGCCCTGAGGCTGACGTCATGTCATTGGTCAGCTGGCTAGCGCGGTCGGTGCATATCATCAAAGCACACGCACGCACGCACACACATACGGCTTCATGTTGTTCACGCTAGTTTCCGTCTTTCAATTCGTGGAAAGGTCTAGCCTCGCCCCTTGACTCTCCGTGTTCTTGCCGAAACTGAAACGGACGTCGATTCGTTGGTCATCCGGTTAGCACGGCCGATGCCATCAGACAGAACACCCCCCATAACAACACACAACAAAAAGCACCCTTTGTTTCTCCACACCGACCCGTCTCACCTCTTCCTCTTTCAAGGTTTTCCACGTTGCGAAGGCTTTCGCCTCGTGGAAATTAACCAGAACGGGCGAGTCCCGCGGAAGCGGTACCTCGTCAAACAAGGTACGGAGACGGTACCGGTGGAAGCCCGAGGGGCCCTGCAAAAAGGTAGGGAGGGTCGAAGCCAGGGGGCGGGGGGTGTAATCATAGTCGTGCATGCCGTAGTCGTTAGATCATTGACCTCGCATCCCTGCAAAGCCGGGACGGAGCACGTCGGGTTCTCACCGGACCAGNTCTTCGTATGACTTCATCTATTTTCTGGTGCTTGCACTTCCAGAGACACTTGTAAGCACTTTGTAACTGCCTCGAGGGTGCTTGACCATTTCAACACAACGTGGTGCGATCATCCCCCTTGCGCGGAGTGAGGGTTCACCCCGCACAACATGATCTACTCAACCATCATTATGGTTACCGCCCAAAAAAAACAAACAAAGGTGAAAAATAAAAGCGGTAACCTGGTTGCCGAGTTCACGAAGTGAATTGGCTTGTTTTACAACGTCGTTGCCAACAGACGAAAACCCAATCCCGATGGTAAACACCGAGGGGGGGGTGTACTCATAGTCGGGCATGCCGTAGTTTGACCTCTCATCCCTACAAAGCCGGGACGAAGCACGCCGGGTTCTCACCGGACCAGGCTCTCACATCACCAAGCGCGAAGCGCCGTGAGATATTCGGCGAGTCGCATGAAGGGTGCGCTGCATCCTGCTAAGGGTGTTCGGCATCTTGTGCTTACTTCCTTGCATACGGATGACAGCTGCGTATGACTTCATCTATTTTCTGGTGCTTTCACTTCCAGAAACAATTGTAAGCTCTGAGTAACTGCCTCGAGGGTGCTTGACCATTTTCACAGAACGTGGTGCGATCATCCCCCTTGCGCGGAGCGAGGGTTCTCCACCCCGCACAACATGATCTA